CCACCCTTCCCCCGCGGCTTCCCCCGGCACCGCCGCCCCCCCCCCCCCGCACCGCCGCCTCACTTCTTGCAGACGCCCATCGCTCCTCACCGCCGCCCTCGCAGGCGCGCGCGCGGAGGGCCCCGGGCACGCACGCCCCGCCGGCGGCGCCACCGGCTCCTCCTCCGCCGCCACCTCCTCCGCCGCTTTGTGCCTCACCGCAGCCGCCTCATGGCGGTGCGAGCGGAGCTAGGGACGGCGGGGTAGGCAGGGGCGCGACGACTAGCGCAGGGGTTAGCGCCGGCGCGGTCAGCGCGCACAGCGGCGTGAGTGACGCCACGTGGGCCGCCACGTACCGCTCGCTCAGCTCGGACCTCGGCGTGACGGCGAGCAAGCTCCGCCTTATGCATGACACGCTGTGGGACCAAGTGGCGGCGATGATCTCGGAAGGGGCGGAGCTCTCGCTCCGACCCGAACCCACTCCAAGCAGCCGCGATACCGCGGAGAGAGCGCAATAAAACGAGCAGAAAAGTAACCTATCTTTCCTCTTTGCTTTTCCAACCGGACGTGCCTCCACCGGGGCACGCCTCTCTTCCGACCCAGGGTGATGGAAGGGGGTCTCGACCGTCGACGCACTCCCGGACCTCGTGCGTCGTGGGGGTAGAGAGGTGCGTCCCAGTGCATCTGTGCGCTCCATGGCGGCACTCCGCCCGCCGCGCCCCAACTTGCCCGATAAAACGAGCAGTAAAGAGTCGGGGTACGAGAGATTGGACTGTGGATCAGAAAGCTGTCCTAAATAATCTATTCTTAAGGGGGAGGGGGCGCTGGAGCGGAGGAAGAGTTGGTAGGTTACTCCTCAGCGCTCAGGAAGGTGTGCTGTATCGCTTGGGCTGTACAGTGGCGCGCGTGTCGTGATGCATCGTGTGGCGCTGGGGGTCTGTGGATCTGAGTAGACTGAGAGCTTGTTGCGCCTGGCAAACAATGAAAAATACTATCTGCGATGAGTTGCGCTGGTGCGCTATGCGCAGCGGATGCGGATGCGGTGTGGGGTATACGTATCGCCGACGAGCGGGGTGCCTGGTGCTAGCAGGCGACTGGCGTATAACAAGGGCCGGGACTGCCCCCGTTCCATGCAAAAGGCAGACCACCCGACCAGGCATCCGCGACGAAGATGGCGTCTTGGATGTTGAAATTTCCGTCCATATTGAAGTCTCCGTCTTTGAGGCGCTTGCCATCAGCGTAGCAGCCATCGGCGTGCTCCGGGACATCGTCATCGTCGTCGTCGTCGTCGGGTGCTGGTCTCGGGAGCGCCACACACTGCCGAGTAGTGGGGTTGTACGTGGTGCCCTCTCCGCAGCACCCCGCACCAACGCATATTTTCGGATCAGCGGTTGCGCAGATGCACTGCTCGGTCACGGGGTCAAAAACAGTGGTCCGGGGGTCACAGTGTGGATGGCACGGGTGTTGTGGTGGCGGCGAGGGCGGCGGCGGCGGCGGCGAAGAAACTCACGCGTTACTCAATCGCTTCCCCAAGTCGGTGTTCGGGTGCCTCGAGGTAAAAAGAAAGAAACAAAGCCGACAAGTCAAGGAAAGAAAGAAAGAAAGAAAACAGACAACCCAAGGGAGGGATGGGAGGACGGCACGCCGCCACCACACAGGGATTTTAAGGAGAGGTGTGTGGTGCGCTAGCCGTCGCCCACCCTAGGGAGTCTGCCTCTTCCTATCTCTCTTCGCAGTCTCTCGCCGCTTCTCGCTGCAACCTTCATGCCACCTCGCGGTCGTCCCACTCTCGTCGTTCTCTCCCTTGTCATTTCCTCCTCTGTCGCGTCGTTCTCTTCTGCCTCGTCCTGTGACGCCACCGCCTGCCGGTCCCTTGTTCTCGCGGCTTCTTTCGCCTTTCGGCGCAACTCCGTCCTCCTCGCGGCGTATCCTGGCCCCTCGAGTCTATCGAGCTCCCCTCGCGCAAGGACCACATTTCTGACTCCCACTCCGATCATTTGCCTACAGGTCATGTTGTTGCTCAGGTCCACTCTCTCTTCGAACACTCGTGCCTCTACGGATGATGCCGGCGCTGGGGTCCCCTTCGGATGCATCGTGACATCTGACAACTGGATTTCCACTGGTTCGTCCTCCTCGGAGTCATCTTCCCCGTCCTCCTTCCGCTCGGCTCTTCGCTCGGTACGTTCGGTGTGGCTCACCCTCCATGCCGTGAACAGGCGCTTTATCCACCCTATATTCTTCTCTCGTTCCTCTGCCCGTGCCTTGGTCTTGTCGTTGTTGTTTCGCACCCATGTCTGACAAGTCAAGCCCAACGAAACGGAATTCTTTTTCTGTGAATAGGCAAGGCGCGCTGCAATCTCCTCCAGCGCATGTGCACACTTATGAGGCCCGCCGGATGGCTCTTAGCGCTCTCGGCGTCCGCGGCGGCGCTGCCGAGCGGCCCTACCACTTTTGAATTCGCGATACCGGGCGACGCGCACGAGTACTGCTTCACCGCGTGCAACTCGACCTCTGGACCGTGTCCCGGGTTCTGCGGTGCGGGCAGGGCTTGCTGCCTGAACGGGCTGTTTGAGCTCGGCTGCCCCGAGCATGGCGGCTGCGCCGACTACCACTGCTGCGTCGAAGCGGTCCCCTACCCTTCTCCGCCTCCGTCGCCTCCTCCGCCGTTCCCGCCGCTTCCGCCGATGCCACCGCCCTCGCCACCTCCAGCGCCGCCGCCGTACCGGCTGTGCGACCTGGAGCACGACTGCGACAACAAGGGCGCGTGCGGCGTCTGCCTCAAGGAGCTCGGGCGCTTCTTTGACGTCGGGTACTCCCTCTCCTGCCCCCTCCCAACCGATCTCGGCGACTTGCACGGCTGCCAGTGGGCGGACGAGCTGAAGACGGGAGAGCAGTGCGAGGCTCCGTTCATGGAGGACCCCTCCGACCCCGCCGCGCGCGCCAACGCCTGCGGCGTGTACGACGGCCTCAACAACTGCCTGCCCTCGCCCAAGGCGCTCGCTTAGTCGCTTAGGACGCTGACGCTGCTCCCTCGACGCTTTGTCGACGCCTGCCCCATCATCTCTCCCTCGCTCCCCCTCTCGTCGCCTTTTCCCCTCCCCTGCCCTGCCCTCTCCTCTCCTCCACTCCACTCTCCTCCCTCCCGCCGCAGGCGTACGCCATGGCCGCCGCACTCGGCTACCCCACGCCTCACGGCGCCTCCTCCCGACACACCTCTCCCCTCCACTAGGCCCACGTCGGGCAGCCGTCTTCACGGCGCACACCGCTGTGAACAGGCCGCTCCGTCTTCGAGCGCGTCGAGTGCAACGTCGTGATGCCGTCGCCTCCGCCGCCGAGCCTGCCTTCGCCTCCCGCGCTGCCGCCCCTTCCGCCCCGGCCCCCGCCACCGCCTCGGCCGCCGCCGTCGCCGCCGTCGCCGCCGATTCCGCCGAACGTCCCGGCGGCTGCCTTGCCCTCCCTCCCCCTCCCTCCCCCTCTCCCTCTTCCTCTGTTCCTCTCTCTCTCTCTCTCCCTCTCTCTCTCTCCCTCCCCCTCCCCTC